TAGCAAACACCCCGCAGCCAGACTTCCTATTTCCTTCGCGTTGCTTAATTAACGAATTTCATGAATCACTCTTCGATCTCCGCTCCTTTTATAAAACAGGCACGTTCGCGTCTTCGTAATTTCTGTTGCAGCAACGTTGCGCCAGATCTTTTGAATACTGATAACTATCCGGGAGACTGCGGATTTTGATGCGGTTAAAACGTAGAAAATATTACTTAAGATGTACGTGTTATTTCAAATATATTGTATTTGTAAAATATTTTATTATGTATATTTATTTTGTTATATTATTTATTACGTTAGAACAGGATTTTTCAGGATTTTTTGATAAATTTTGATACATTTATAATTTATTATTATTATTATTATTATTATTATTATTATTATTATTAATTTATTATGTATATTTATTTTATTATATTATTTATTATGTTAGAATGATTTAGCAGGATTTTTCAGGATTTTTTGATAAATTTTGGTATATTTATAATTTATTTATAATATAGAGGAGATTGGAGTAAATTTTGTTGTTAAAAAAAAGAATTGAATGTAATTTCTTTATTTTTTATAAAATTTAATTTGTGAATTAATTCCATTGTTTATTAAGTGATTACTAATTGAGATAGTAAAATTGTAAGATATTTCAATTTAACGAAAGCATACGATATTAATATGTAAATGAACCAATCTTTTTATACAAAAAAAATATAAGATGTTATCAGTTTAAACACATAAAACAATTCAAACAATTATTGTTTCTGTATTCAATCCTTCAAAGGAGAATTTGCATACAATTCATCATACAAACTTATGTATATATTCTATATTGCACCAACAATTCATCCTATGACGAAACTTGTTTGATTTTATAGTAAAATTCATTGACATCAATGATATTTTAAATAACTATAAAATATACGAATTATAAAATGAATTAATCTTTATGATTAAATGACAAATCTTATTTCGATTTTTTCGTACAAACTTATTCATTTATATCATTTCAATGCAATATCGAATAAAATAATTAAATATTTAATCCATTGATGAAACGAGAAAAAAGAAGGTATTGTACTCATGCAATTTTCGGCAACTCGAGGTCGCGTGGCGTCGCATAAATGCGATGTGAAGAAAGAAGAAGGATGTGTATACGTATACACAGGGTGGTATATTTTAATGGCTTGCCTCGTGGCCTCGAGTTTGCGTACTGGCACCTGTAAGCGGAACCCTCGCCGATATACCCCAGGAGTCGGACACGACGGGGCGCGTTTGTGAATTCATTAAGATTAACGTATGCAGGGAATTAATTCAAGGGGCAGCAAAGCGGCTGGCCGTCTTCTTCGTGCTGGAAAAGGGCCTCGAAACGGCGGAAACGGTGGAAACGATGGAATAAATGCATGAAGACGGGATAAATTGAGCGGCGTCGAGCTGCGAAAATAAAGATGCTCGTAATAATTTTGATCATCGGCCCTTTGTGGGGATAATTTTTAACACGATACCAATTTCTTGCGATCAAACCGTCAGGCAATAAATTCAATCTCAAAAAAAGCATTGAGTATTATTATCTTATTTCTTATCATTTTCTTGACATTATTTTGTATTTTATTTTATATTGACTTTAGAATAATCAGATTGGTTATAATTATTTATGTAGATAAAATATATTTTAGTATTGTAAATTAATCTATAATATTAATTAGTATTAACATTAATTAATAGAAATTATTTATTAGTTTCTTAATAATTCTTAATAATTAATTTCTCTTTTTTTTTTATTTCATTATTATAAATTATTAAAAGTGATAATTTGTACAAATTCAAATATGTAAAGTTTCATCATAAATTGAAAGCGAGTTATAATTTTTGTTTTAATTTATCTAGAAATTTCTATAAAATTAAATAATACATAATTCCTTAATTTTTTTCTATTTATGTGTATATTTTTGATTTTTATTTTAAAATTATTTTAAAGAAAAGTAATATCTTATCAATTCTCTGAGATTCTAATAATCTCTTCTTTTATACATCTATTATTATAACTATTAAACAGATAGATAATATTTTTATATAATATTTTTGAAAAAAAAAATATGAATAGATTTATTATTCAATCCAATGGAATATTTTTAATATTTTTCGAAGATATTAATTATTAAATTTAAAATAGTGTTCTTTATATTATATTTGTATGTTTTAAATGTGTACAAGTTAACAAGAATACTGTAAATTGTCGAATAATTTCTTGCAATCTAAAACTAGCACGGTTGATCGCATCTGTCGCGATTTAGAAAATCAATGGAAATTAGAACGGAGGGTTTGATTCGAATTGCCTCGGAATCACCATCCCTTGTCGACTGATTGTTGTCGGTAATTTGCAATATTTGTTCCCCTGTGGGACACGAAATTTCATCTGGATGCAACCACCTCTGGTCATGTTGGATAAATGGGATTCAATTCAGGGTGAATATCTCTTTCCGATCTTGTGGAGGGGAACGATCACAGATTAGAGGCAGAATACGTTCAATTATTTTTTCCCGCTGCGTATCGAGATTACCTAATGAATAACATATATAATTGCTATGCAAATAATACGTTTTGATTCGTTTAATGTCATACGTAATTATTATGCTCGATAATAATCTATAAATAATAAATGTAACATACATAATATAAATACATTACTTACATAATAAATAATGAATAACAAAATAATAATTTATTGATATATAAAAAAAAATTTGTTATTTTTATTAATAAAATCTGATTTTTATAACAATTTTTGAAAAAAGTAAAATTAAAATCATATAAAAAAATATAAAAGAAGTAAATATTAATAACCAAATGAATTCATAAATAGTAAATAATGAGAATAAAATAATTTTATTTAATAATATGAAATTGCAAAAAAATGTGGAACGCTTCACGATTTTGCGTGTCATCCTTGCGCAGGGGCCATGCTAATCTTCTCTGTATCGTTCCAATTTTAGTATATGTACTGCCGAAGCAAGTACAACCGCATACTACATCCAACTGATATATATAGGAATTGTCATAAGATCGACCACTTGCGAGAAACAATTTCAAGGTAAAGGTTTACGCCATCTGGCGGCATACGCTTCAATGATCTCCGATATCAACATGTTGCTTCAAACTAAAAATTTGATTAAATTCATTTTAGAAACGAATTTTTCTTGTTAAAGTTTAATACAAATATAATAAAAAATAATATATAATACAAAATATAAATAAAAAATTTAATATAAATAGAAAATGTTTTTTTTCCACTTATTAATTAAGGCATCGATTACTTTTTTAAGCGTGATCTCAGATGCGTTGGAACAAAGCATTGTAATTATTCGAGAAAAGGTTTTTTTTCTGTGAAAGGGCGTGAATGTAAATCAAATCCACGAGAAGCGAAGCTTGATCCGACGAAAGTTACCGAGTCTGAATGATTATCAATAATAGAGTCACGATTGTCGATCGAGTCGAGACGAATTGGTAAATACGGATAAAAAAACAAAGAAGAGGATCACGGTGAAGCGATTTAGAACAGTGAGAATCGAAGAGCGAGTAGCAAGGGATGAGGTAAGGGGGTGATGGATCAAAACCACGATGCCGCGAGGGCTTCGAAATCGTTAACAATCGCGGCAAAAGCAAAATCCATTGAGGTGCGACCACGCGTGTGAATATAACTGTCGATCTGAATATTCTGCACGGAGCAGCACCGTCCAGTGCCGTATTCGCGAAAAACGAGAGGGAAGCCAGCTCGTTTTCCATTCAGGAAAAAAAAAAAAAGGTGCGATTGAAACGAACGATTCTGTTTACAGCGACTAACAATTCTTCGCTTGATGTTTCGAATATCGAATACGTGATATCTCCTCTTTTGGTTTATATTTTACATTGAATTCTTTTTTCCCGAGCATTTTTTAGATCGTGGAAACGCTCGATTCTTAAATCGTGTTCAAACAAATGGAACAAAGACTGATTCGCGTGGTATTTTCCTCTTGAGAAAAAATATCCTACGCGAATAAAAGAGAAGATGAAAGACGCGAAGTTGTATTTGCTCAGTCCATTTCTACGAGATCATGAGTTAAACACAGCAAACCATCGGTGAATACGTTCTTGTTTCTCCTCGAATATACCAGCATTTATTTATATTCTTCCTTCCTTGCTTTTTATCGTTTCTATACGTATTTCGCTAACAACGTTTTCAAGACATCGAGGCGCATTATGTCCCGGAGACAAAAAGAAGAATCAGAAATCTGACAATTTATCCGCAATTCTCTACATTAAACGTGAATATGAATATAAAATATAATATTTTCTCAGTAAGGAATAATTTTTGTTTCAAGTATTTCTAGTTTCTTAAACCTCAATCATAATCCGATCAAATTTTTATCTCTTTTTATATCGTTTAAGGTCAATAATTCCATAAAAAAGATTTAAAGAATATTGTGTTGATTCGCTAAATAGAAACAATCAGAAAGTTTGTACGAAGATATGTAAAAAAATTCGGCAAAATTTCGTGCCCGGATATACAGCCTATTGTGTTTCTTCTTTCGCGCAGAGTAGGAGACACTCTCGAAGAATGATGGTTATGGGAAAAAGAGTGCTTGAACACGGACGTTGGTCAGGCTCCCGCGGTTCCAATTACGATTGAAAGGCGGCCCTGTTTGTTCGCTTCCTATAACTGCGGACTCTTCAGTACCTTGTACAAGGCACTCTTACCCCATGGCCACTTTCGAGTTTCGACGCGTGTGTTTCCATGACGAACACCGCGATTCCACCAAGCACAAAAATTCTCCTTTTTCCAGTCTACGGCAACGATTATTATTTCACTGAGAGTTTTTTTCTATTCTCTTTCTGTTTTACATTAAGATATTTTCAAATAACCCGCGTTTTGTTATTGTCGTTTTCTACCTAACCTTCTTATACAAAAATCCTTAGTTAAATAAATATGGCCGAACGTAAGACGCGTGCATAAAGACTTCTGCGATAAAATTTTAATTTTGTGATAATCGTGGAGTGTTTATCTAATTAATAAAAAAAAAATATTTCAAACAACACAATTAGAGTGCTATATAAAATGTTTTTCGTTAATTCTTTCTATCAATATAATAAAGAATGAAATAAGTGATCCTTTGTGATGAATGTAAACAACTTTTGTTTTTAAAAGCTAAAAATCAGTTAAGTTTATGCATAAATTCTTAGAAGGATAATTGTGTTTAGACGATTTATTTGATTTATCTTTCTATTTTGTCAAAATTGAGAATGATTGCCCGATAGTATCGCGGCCCTGTTTTCGAGCTAAGTGCCGTGTAATCAAAGGATGATTGCTGACACAAAGACGGCTGATTGGCTCGTTTATGTTACGGTAATGCTCGAAGCTTGGTGGAACGTCTCTCGATACCGAGCTCGTTTCTCGTGCTAACGAGATTTCACCGAAACGTCCATGTTCTCATTAAAGAATTAAATGAGAATGTTCTCGTGAGACAGTAGTGAATATGAATAATAATTCATCATTAAGGAAACCATCGTATCAAGAGAAGAAAAATCTCCTCTTTAAATTAATAATCCGTGAATTCTCATAAAGGTCCTCAAATCTTTCGTTAATTTCGCGTATCAAAAGATAGAGAAATAGCTTGAATCGTCTAATAATCGTTCTTTCTCCGTGTTCGAATTATATTCAAACGTATTAAAATAATCCTTTTCATTCGATATTTTTCATTATTCGTACGATTCATACGATCTATTTTCAATGTCTTGAAACAATGAATTTGAAATAAGAGAAAAAGAAAAGAAGAAGAAATAACGAAAGTTAGATGATTTTCTAGTCAAATCTCTACAGAATGATTTCAAAACCACAAATTGTTTTTGGGAAGTAGACAGTAAAGTCTTCAGCAGGGTGTCGCAAAGATACCACAAAGATGGTGTAGATTCGCGCGACAAGCATCGATGCCATGAGAGGGTTGCTTGTTTACAAGCGACAGTTGATTTGACAAAGCCGTGGGTCCATTTATACGAGTGAATATTACAGGGCAAAGTCGAGGGGTGGCTTGTTATCCGCTCATTGAAGTTAACCACGGGGCTAAGTGCGCTGGGGAGTGCCGGTCGGTAGGAGCAAGGAGAACTAGTGACTAAAGGTTAGGTATATGTATACCGACGGAGGGGATAGCTTTGCAGTTTGTAGAGAGAATCGGTGAAACTTCGTGAGAAACTGAGAGAGAAAATTCAAACGGAGACAGATACTAGCATAGCGAATAAGAAACAGAGATGAAGCAACGAGGAAAGGAAAGATAGACGAAATACAACGAGTTGAAAAGAGATAAAAAAGAAAAAGTGAAGTGAAATAAATCAAGAAAGAAAACAGATAATGATGAATGCGACTTATTTGTGATGTCCATATATTTAATAAATGATATTTGTAAAAATTGTTTATATATTGATGTTAAAAGAATATTCTGAAATGATTTATGGTATGTTCTTTAATGTTTCTATTTTTTAAAGATTTAGTAAAAAAGTTTCTTCTTTAATAACATGTGAAATTAATTTCTAATATAGATTACTATGCCTATTCTATTGATAAGCTTTGAAATAATAACCTTTGAAACGCTAATGAAATTAGTCCCATCGCTAGAAGAGGGTGATGGAACGAAAGATGGATAACAGCAGGGTGGCCTGGAAGAAGATAGCGTAAGAGGTGAGGAGGGAAGAGAGTTGGTAGAACATTGACGGGCCAATGAGAGGCCAGATCGTTGCCGAGGTAACCGCGGGGCTTTCCGACGGATTATTCGACCGAGATTGAAAAGTTAGCACCGTGCAACGGGCGGGGGCTCGTCGACGGAGCCACTCCTGTTTCTCCAGAACGAGCGATCTACTCGCGACAGGGCTAACACAACGGATTAAGGCTTATTTTCACGTTCATAACAGCTCAACCCCTTTTACTCGATGCTATTATGTTACAACAGGATATCATGTAAATGCGCTCTTCGTGATACGAGATTCATATCTCGAATTGTACACGAATACAATAATGCTAGTATAATCTTTCACATCTATATTTAGTCGATATAATCTTTGATTTTTTTTTTAGGATTGAGAATGGATTTATATTCATATTCCGTTTATGAAACAGAAATAAATTTGTGGTAATTTTTATTTCTTTCCAAGATCATTAAGATGTAATTAACTTATTTAATTATTTTTTTCTGTTCTTTATAGATATATCATAATAAGTTGCTTAAAAAAATCCTATTTAAATTTATGAAATGATTATTTTTTTCAAAATTATTTGAATCTAACTGCTTTTTTTCATTATACTCATATAACAAAAAAAAAAAA